CCCCCCCACCCCACCCCCCCCCCCACACACACACACACACACACACATATATATATATATATATATACTCAGAGATACAGACACAGCAGGGATGAAAGGAGCCATCAGTCGCTCGTTGTTATGTCAGTTGGATATATTGGGAAGTGGTGTCGCTCGTTGTTGTGTCAATCGCTGGATATATTGTCATTCGTTGTTGTTCTAATCGCTGGATATATTGGGAAGTGATTTCACTCGCGGTGAGAAAAGAGTGAACTTTCCCTTACCTTTACTATTTTAGCGATTTAAGACGTGGGAAGGGTGCAATTTTAATGCTGAAGAAACTGAGCGGCAAATGACACGGTAGGCGGTAACGTCACCGAATTTTCGAGGAAAGAAAGTTACAAATGGGAGATAGTAAATGTAATAGAACTTATCGCTGTTTTACTTTAGCAAGGCTTCTATGCTGATAGAGCACTGCTAAGTTTGGAGCGATGAAGTGATGACAATGCTAATTTCCACTTCAAACTTAAAATTCGAAGAATGGCAATGAACTATAAGAGTAACTATCAAAGCATCACTACAAATGAATCCTATTGCAGTTTTTATAAAAGGCTTCATGAAGAAATTCTCAGCGACCGAACAAAATATTTATTTAATATGCCAAAAAACGTGGAATAAAATAGGAAATAAAAGACTAAACGTATAAGACTGCTCAGTGCTTTCTTCGGTTTCCTTTACGAAAAACTTCCATCTACGAAAAACTGGATGGTTGGTCCAGATTTCCTTCAAATTTCAAAATGACTTCTCGAACTTCCTGAAGCACATTTACTGCCATACAACACAAACAGTGCTTCAACAGTTTTTCTTCGTTTTAATAATACCTCAACTTGAGTATATGCGATAGTGTCTCCGAATAAATGTTGACCAGTGGCTGAATGAGTCCACTTTACCACTTTGCACTGAATATTGTCCGACCCTACAATATTCTGTGCTTTACTGATAAGTATTTACATCAGACATGGGAGATTATGAGTAATTTGACTTCTGCTGTGACATTTCTTTTAAAAGAATTTTTTTTGGGAAAGAGCTTTGTGTGGCACAGTCGAATTGTACTGAGGATTTAGTATTTATTGGAAAGTTTATTCCTTGTTGATGTTATAATAAAGTTATCAGGAACTATCAGGAGTAGAAATGACACTTGGTCGTTCTTCTTGTTGATCTAGGAGGATGATTTGGAATTGTTTGTTGAAATAGTGGTTCATAGGATTGCTAATGGTATGATCGCTTATTTTCAGAGCAGGTAAATAACAGTAAAACTTCTAGTTGGACAATTTATAGTAAAATACACAATTGGTCATTTGATAGATAAAATTAATGGTAAACAAAAAATCATCTGGTCATTTACTAATAATCATTGACGGTATTCTTTAGAATCGTATATGGAGAATAAACAAAGCACATCTTATCATTTGACTGAGACAAACAAATTCTAGAGCACAGCTAAGAAGATGTCCGATTTCTACAACTGAAATACATAATTTAACAGAATGAATCATTTTAGATTAACTTCATTCATTTTGGTTAGTGATAGCGATTATCGTGAAAGTTTTTGATTTGAGAAGTTTGTTGTTTCGCAGACGAACATTGTTGGAAAGAGTTTATTCTTCTTGATATATAGATAATAGTAAACACGAGGTCGTTGGATATAAATCATTAGCAGCATTCGTTTATGGTAGATAGACAATAAAACTGACGGTTAAAAAAGAATTATTTGAACATGCAATAGATAAAGCCGAAGGTAAAAGGAGAGTTATTTGATGTTAATTATTTACAGTATTCCTTAGGATAATGAATTAAGACATTAAACAAACAGATCGAATCATTTGACTGAGAATATTTGAAGCAAAGGAATTCTATAACATAAACAGTAAGAGCATTAAAATACATTGATTATTTAAACATTTTTATATTATGAAGTTATTCGTATCATGTGAATGCGTATTCATCATCTTTTGCTTAGCATATTTATCCCGAGCGGGAAATTCGCATGAAAGTTATTTATTATGGTTTCTGGAAAGTTCTGATACAAACTTTAAGAAAACATTGGAATTCAAGTGTAAGAAACCGAGAAATTTTTTATGTATCTTCGCTGTTAGAAGTCATGTGAAGAAGAATCGTGCAGGCTCTATGTATGTTCCGCATATTGTTGAGATGAGATACAACAGTTCCGGTATCCTCCCTTTAAGATCGGTGTATACTGGAATCTACTCAACTGACTCTCTCTACATAATTTCAAGACAAATTTATAATCAAAAGAATGTGTGAGCAGGTAAATGAAACCTTCGTCTGGTAAACCTTATGCTAGCTGGAGAATAGAAAACAGTTTGAAATGTTGAATGACGTAAAATTAATTTGTAGATTCACTAAGTGCCTGTTGATGTGCACAACATGAACGATCGATCATCTTATTTCATTTCTGTCAATTCCAGTAGAGCTATCTAGCTGATCTGTAATGAGTAGCTGGAATGATCGCAACCACTGCTGACGATTAGAAGTATTCATCTGATACTTTCGAGGCTGCTATCAATTATATACATGCAATTGGTGATGGTCTGTCTCTCTACAATATGCATGCATTTTATACTCTTCTACACTTAAGCGATCACATACTATTTACATGCGAGGATTGCGGGATTTGAACCATAAGGCAAGAAGAATGGATTATATTCAGAAATTGATGTGATGTATTGGGTCAGTTGAAGACCTCTCCAAATTCTAAGTCAATTTGGTACATTTAAGTTAAAACTTCAATCTGATCAGAGCTCCATGCAATCGAGTATACAAATCTGTCCCATGCTAATAAAATAACTAGCAGTGCAGTCAATTTGCTCGATTACGTACAAGTTCCCATGACAACCGCTCTTAGATTTCGCTTCATCTGGCCCTTATCTCCTCACTCTTATCTTTTAAGCTTTTTTAAAATGTTCGTTTTATGTGACAACAGTTAATTGGTATATATTCGTCTATGTAAGTCTCGTCCCATCAAACATCGCAATAAGCTCGCTTCGATTTGCGGTTTGTAAGCGTTAGCAAGCAATATTTCGATTCTTCCAGCAGACCAAAACCAATTTCCTGTTTCAGATGATTTTCTCCAACTAGTTGTTGATATTTGAGCTTATAATTAGAAAATTAGCTTTTGAAATGATTCAATGAAGGGACGAAAAGAGACGAGAAACGTGCGAGCTTCTAACGGACGCGGTATCTTTTATTATATTATGCGCATTTATTCATGACAAACTGAAAAATGAAAAACAAATTAATCAGAACACTGCACGCGACTATTGATTTCCCTTATCAGTATTGCTTCTCTTGCGAATTGCTCACTAATCCGCCCATCGATGGGAGCACAAAAATCCACAATTGTTTTCAAATATTCCGTGTTTAGTGTATCGCATAAAAAATGCAAACTTTCCAGTAATTATAATGTATCGTGGTTAGTACAATTAGCATTCCAAGTAGTGGTCCAGTGCGATATAATACAATTAGCATAAATATATATTTATAATTTTAGAACAGTTGAGGTTTCAACTGTTCTAAAATTATAAATAAGACTACTGGAATCAAATCTGAATCCAAATTATATCGCACTGGACCACTAAGTAATTAGGAATTCTCAAAATGTAATTCTTTTTGAATGTCTCATTTGCTAAACTTTGAATTTTATAGTATCGCTATCATATCGATCGATCCGTTATGGAATAATATATGTAACGCCTTGGTCATGGCGTTGTAAATTGTATTGCAATGGTGTAAACTGCAAATACTGCTCATGGAAACCGTGGTCCCTGAAAGAGCAGGCAATCGAAGGGTTATATTCCTCATGGTTGAATATCCTTATCACTCTACTAATTAAAAATTAGATTTGGCAATTTTTAATAGTAAATGCTACTGGCGCTGTTACAGGATAACTGAAAAGATTTTGGCGATGTCTCGACCAACTGCTAAAACATTTACTGATAATAACCTGATTGCGCAGTTCCACAAGTTCGTCCCAACATTTCTAAAACCCTTTTTTTTTCAGCCAGTCATGAAAAATTAGACTTTATAGGCTTTTTGAGGAACTGGAATTCCCTCGTTTTATTTCGTCTGTCACGACGTCACTTCAAGAGTCTTCTTTACATCTCAAAATATTACATTGCAGAGCAAACATATGTGCGGTCATCAATCTTCAAGCACTTGGTGAACATGATTCCTGTGGACCGGAGCTGCTTCCTTCTGGTTTCACATATAATCCGGAAATACTAATGCAGAACGGAAGTAAGCCATAGTATATTGAAGAAATTTTGCGATATTTCCTCAGCAAGTAAAAAAAATATTTCCTGTCGTTTCAGTAAAGTTTTATAATTTCGTTTGGCCAGACTTCGGGATTCTTGGAATTGATATTCTTTTGGATATTGTGAAAGTTGTTCATTGTTCTCTCAGACAAGGTATGATCATATGATATTTGGGAAGAGTTGAATTGGTTGGAGCCATTAATATTTGAAGTTTCTACGAAACGTTTTCTCAGTTTTTTAGTTTATTTAGATTTAATGTATTTAGGAAAGGTAGCAATACATTGTCACGCAGGGCTTGGCCGTACGGGTGTTGTTATTGCTGCTTACATGATCTGGGCAGAATATTCCACATATGCAGAAGCTATAAATCGCGTTAGAACTGCAAGGTACCACTTCCTTGCGAAGTTAGAAAAAAAATGTCGAAGTTAGAAAACTTGAATTGAATGATAAAAACGTAAATGATCAAATGGAATTAACAATTAAAGAATTTTCAAATTCAATTTAAATTCGAACTGACATATCTGAAGCGAAATATTTTCAAATCGACTGTAGGCCACACTCGGTGCAGAATAAAAAACAGATAAGACTGGTGAAGGATTTCGGGATGTTTCTGGAGAAATATGGTGCTGCTTTACCACAGACCGGAATGGTACACTTGAGCGATTACATACACATGCAAATGAAAATTCTATCTAGCAGTCAAGCCCGGAAGTATCACCATATTCCTAAGGTAAAGATAATAAATCTTAGGATTGCTGATTAACAGTTTTAATAATAATAATTAATAATAATGATGATAATATAATAGTAATGATGATAATAAACAATGAAAAGTTACAATAGCCTATATCTTATGACATCTTTCAATATTTATTTTGCAAGACGAGATGGGAACTTTTTCTCAAAAGAATAACTGCAACTTTCTTCGTGCAGTAACTTATCGTGAATGAAAGGTGTTGCATGCAGCGATGGAAGAACTGCTACTCATTGTCCATGGCGAACTGGATGGTAGGACTAAGCGGTGGATTACAAATATTCTAAAATGCGCATCAAAGATTGATCGAGAATTCCTGGAAAAGTGGCCAGCACGATTACCGATACCGTCGTGAATATTTTTGTTTTCAATATTCAAAATTTAGTAAATATTCACTTGCATCAGTCTCCTGTCCTTAATCTTATTATTGCATGAATGCACATCGCGCAATAATATCATTAGACCGATTAATTTGAGGTCATTGATGTCGGAGAAAAAGCAATGTAAGATGTAGCGAAATAGATGTGGAAATGTTCCACACGCAGAGAATTTTGGTAGTTAGAAATTTAGACCAAGTTCAAGACAATTAAGCCAGATTCAGAATTCAACTGATATAGAGTTTAAAATATTCAGGAAAGTGAAGTCGCAAGAGATTGATATTTGTATATGCGGAGTGTTAGAGAACTGCGGTGAAATTTTGGATTCGAGTGATAAAGACACAAAAATAATTAAAGATGGTGGACTCAAAATGATTAACTGTACCAAATTTATACGTAATAATTTTCGAGGCAACATATTTTTGTTGCTGCGAACATTGGATCAGTTGATGAATTCATTCACTAAACCAGTCATTCCGAAAGAAGAACTACTTAGCAATCTTCAACGAAACAACGAGCATGCGGTATGTTGCGCAAGTCACGTAAGAACGAAGCTCATGCCAGTATTTCTAGAATTAAATCCAAACTTAGATGAAAATAGTATTCGGACTTCGGTATCTTTACTAAGTGAAGATATAGAATTAAATATAGAATTAACATGACAGTAGTGTCTTATTTCAGGACTGGCAATGTTTGAATCGTTATCTTCTGGTCACGATGGCATCATTAAGCAGTGGCAATTACAGAAACATTGCAAAGCTTATCAGCCGCTGGTACCTGGGTGAATCAACAAGTGATGACGACATTACAATCGCCCTACAAAACTACCTTTTACGAGCTTGATATCGATGCAATCAGTAACCGACATCACACTATTCTTATATTTTATCACGAATTCCAGATCATTTTAGAATTTTAGATTGCAAGTGCACTAGCTGATTAATTCTGTATATGAACTCAAGCTTCAAGATCATCGCCTGCACGTTTCCGCAGCATATCACTTTTCCAAACGTATATTACTTATCTTTCCGAAAGGTTACAGCTAGTTCTTTTGTAGAGCAGAGCTATTATATGATTCCTTGAGCTAATAATTCGATCCAAATGTTATTATTTCTACACTGTATTAAGGCATTTAGTAGATGAGTGGAATAAAATGATGTAGCATTTATTTCGAAACCATACAACACAACAGCTAAAACTGATATTATTAATGGAAATCAAGAAAATAATATAATACAACATAATATTTAAGGATTTTTGAACATTGAATATATGATAAATAATTTATCCAACTTCTCGTAGGCTCTGATCTGGGTACAGTCATGTCCCATTATCTCCAATCTTGGCAAATGCCAAGGAAAGCATGGAAACCATCCATTGATGTAAATCAAAGAACAGTTAAGTGAGAAAGAGAAATATATATACTAAAGTACTGAAACCTGTGATACTGCGGATCGATGTACCGGTCCAGGTCGTTGAAGACTATAAAGAACATTGCATGCTGCATGCGTATCAGAATGGATGCGGACATATCCATCAGTTCCGTGTGCGTTGTCATAAAGCGTTGCATCAAACATCTGCTGAGCTAAAACAGATTTTTGATATAAAAACAAGTGAAGGAACCAGTTATGATAATATCATCGCACTAAATGTAATCTGAAGGGAATCATATCGTAACATAACTGCCAAGGCACATAACCCGCAATTGCAGCCATACATGGGCTCTTAATGACTAAAATCGGTGCTAAAATTTCAAACATTTGTTTCAGCTATTAGTGATTATACTATTGGTCAATGGTGTAATTAAAACTCATGAGAATCATTGTTTTCGACTTTTCATTTGAGCCAAAAGCAATAATCTATAAGCAGACCGTTTTCCTTAATTTCATTCTCATTTTCAATATTTTTATTACTGAAGTCGAAATCATCCATATTTGAAACCTGAAGAGAGAAATACTTGGTAGATATGATATTGAATTAAACATCGTACAGATGTTTGACAGAGAAATTTAAATGTTTAAAGTTGGTGTCGAAATCCCACTTACCTCATAGAAGGCGCCAACCAAAGTATTAATCCTGTGAGCAAACATGCCGCATGTCTGGACTAGCAAGATTATCAGCAAGAATGCGATGATAAACAATCCAATCGGTTCAACTTTCAGTGGCTCATCAGTGAGTTCAAATTTTCCTGTTTTCTTGCTTAATTTTGACCACTCAAAACCTTCTGTTAGCACTCCAATTAATTTAATGCAATCTAACAACTATATTCTTCCAAAAAGTACCAACAATGAAGTTTTGCATTTGAAAATAGGCGTCAGACGTAGATGTCGGATCATACCGTGTTATGCAAACGGCTCGCTATGGAAGTATAGATAAGATCAAAATACCGTGCGGGGATTTCGTGCCATATGGAAAAAACCAAGCACTTACCGTACGGTTTATATTGGAACGAAAGTATTTCTTTGTGCTTTTGCATGAGAAACACTGCTATAACCAACAAACCATTGAAAATCAAAAGTGAAAATGCAATCCGATTTCTTAAACTAGCTAAATTAGCAACATCTCGTCTCGTTTCCTCCTCTGTGATTTCCAGTGGCTGTAAAATCACTTGTGCTCTATAAATTCCTCCATCGAATATATTGGAATCCAGACCAGACGGTATACTTCACTAACTGCCCGATACTAGTCTTCTGGAGTGCGCAGTAATACAGTAACACTATACTTTGTACTTTTTGTTGGAAGTAATAAGAAAATGACTTGCTGATGGAATAGAAATGGTGATGTGATGAATGAGGAAGAAATTCGAAAGGAAATATAACAACAATAGGTTTGATCCTCGTAAACTTCACCGATATCTACATAACATCTAAAGCTCCTTAATGACCCAGCAGATCACGAATAACGAAGAAAAATGAAAAAACAGACCACTTGTCATGCTTTCTCTCTTCCGATAGGCCTGTTCTTAGATTTCACTGAAGAATCCGAAATATACAAAAGTTTGCAAAGGAGACTTCAAGTCAAAGTCTCAACGCATGAAGTTAGCCACAATAAAAATATTTCAGATCCACCTGCATTAGTCCTATATTTTAAAAAACTTTACTTTGAGATATTGTTCAATCATGCCATTCCAGAATTCATCTTCCGCTGCGTTCAACCTTCCACGACTACAAATTTGGAGATATTCGGTGTCCATCCATAAAAAACGGTTCATCTTTTCCCTCGAGACCAACGTTTTAAACGGTGTTGAAGATGATGAGACAAATAGAATGTCCTACAAGAATTATTTTCAAATTGACATTCTCTTACAAGAAATAGCAGGAAGATAAAATCGCTTACCTTGTCTCGCTCCTTTTGATTATCCAATAAAACTTGTGTTACTGAAAGGATGGGAAAGTTCTCATGCGCTGTTGTCATTGTATTGAGGTGAACAGAAGAGAAAACATTTCGCTCCTACAGTTTAACTTATAATAATGAAGATATTCGTTTTCAAAAAAATAGCTAAAGCTGAAGCATATCAATATTTTTACTATTGCTTCACCAACCTTAAGTCCCTGAATTTCTGTTTCCATAATAGCAACTTTTCTTTTAAGTTCTTGTACTTCAACAGCAGTAGTGGTGGCAGTGGCAGCAGTAGCAATAGACTTCCACGATGGTGCTGATCGCACAATATCAATGACTTTGAAAAAACCTAACCGCCGCAATAAATCACGGAATTCGGTATCACTTGCATGCTAAAATATAATACTTTTTAATATTATAATGTGAATAATATAATTAATTATAACAAAATACTTACTTTACCAATGGCAGCTGAAGCAGCTTCTCGAGTGCCCCAGTTTATAACGTTCAAATTAATAAGTGCATAAAGTGCCATGAAAATGTATGTGCATGGTATCATCAGGAAGAATATAAGCCCTACAAAAGAATCTCTCTATCAGTATTCAGGTTGAACAAGAAGCTAACCGAAACATCGTCATAACTATTATTTACCGTAGAAGATGTTATGGAATTCTTGTGGATGTAGAACTGCGGCCAGGACGAATATGCTTATCATACAGAGCACGAAGACTGGAGTCGGAGAGAGAGCAGCTAAAAATGAAAGAAACTCTTAACATATATCATTGGTAAGCAATATAACTAGTCCAAGTAATGTATGTCCATGAAATTTTTGATTGCTTGAAAATTCAAAATGAAATTTACTTTCAAGGATTATCTGGTTGATTGTAGCCACTGCGACAGCAAGCATCACAAAGCCATACACCACAGAAATAAATTTGGCAAAAATTATCTGGTAATTCGAATCGGCAAGAAAACAGAGCACAATGAAAGTAAACACTGGTAAAGAGTTGTATAGCAACATTTTGTCCGATTCAGCTTCAAACGTGGCTACCTAAATTCAACTTAATACCTCTGCTTTTTTGATTTCTCTCGAAGGAAATTATACTTCATGATGATGTGATCAGGTACACTTTCTACCATTTTTTTTCTTTATTAGGCTACCTTGAACAAGACAAGAGTGTCGCTTGCTGCAAATTTCATTAGCTAATGATTGAATTCGTCATTATCCCATTGACCATATATTAACATATTGGCCTGAACTTATGGATCCATTGTATCTGCACGCACCAATCCAAATGAGAATGGTATTGTTCGCTGTGACTTATTATTTGCATTTGATTTTAACAAAGATTAGCATAAAGAATAACCTGAGCATAGACAAGCATGGTAAATACAATACTTGGAGAGAAGAGACTAAAACCAATAACCATTGACTGATATAAGATATACATTTTTGATATATTGTTGTTGCTTTGACAGACGCGCTGGAAAAATTGAAAACAGGAAAGACATAACAATATGGTTGAGTATGGAGCCATTTATTCTTCCCAACTTACTTTATAGTCGGCAAGTAAATCGAGTGTGTTTGCTATAGAAGAGGGAGTCCATCGACGTCGTTGGTTGAAAAATTCATGGAAACTTTCAGGTGCATACGTTTCCGCGTCTGCGACAGCTGCATACTCAATTCGGTAGCCTTGTTTCAGGAGCAGTGTTGACAACCAGCGATCTTCACCCTTAATAGAATGGAGTGCTCGCAGTAATGCGTAAGAGGAACTATACCAAGAGAAAGAAGAACTAAACTGCACTAAAAAACAAGCTTGCCTGATCGTACTGAACAAAATGACGTGGCTCAGAGGCAGTCTTCGTATACTTATGCATGACGTTGTCGTCCATCAAAGCAGATGCGCGAAAAAGTGAGAAGCAACCGGGGGCGCAAAGTACACAGCCGAAAACATGTTCTGCGGCTTTCTGGAACCAGTGAGAAATAGCATACTCAAATTTTTGATACCATATCATTATGCCTGAATATGACTCACTCACATCATATTGCGGTTTGCTTTTAGCAGATTTGTTACAGTGAATCGAGTAATTCGAAATTCTAAAGTATTTTTATAAGCAAAGATTGAATGACAGGTAAGGAGAGAAATGACCTTTGCCAATGGGATGAATCCGCCCACAAGCACAACCGATCTCATTCTTTACATTCATCAGTCTAAGCAACTTCATCACTGCCGATGGTTCAAACTTGGAATCCCCATCAATAGCCAAAATATATGTGTTATCCGCCTCAAGTTGACGATCCTCCACACTCATATGAGAATCCATGATCCGGTGACCAAGCAAGTAGTACAAGTACATCACCTACAAGTTTGTGTCATTTACTTCTCCCATTAATTTGATATCAACGAATGCACTACCTGTGACCAACGTTTCTTATGGCGAACAAGTTGCTTATCCTTCAGATGGACAAAGAGTAATGTGCCTGCTGGTAGACGCACTACCAACCTTCCACCATAAGCAGTATTAACGAGTACACGGTCATTCGCAACACTTTTCTTTTCGATGCTTTCATTTCTGAAACACCAACTGATGCAGTGTTCTTATAAGTAGCAGCATGCTTGGTAATAAAAAACTTACTGTGTCAATTCCAATAAGAGATGAAAAAAGGTTTGAAAAAAGCCGTTCGGAGTGCGACCACATTCTATCTGATCTTCCCAAGCATCGTCGAAGAAGATATGTGCTGCAACTTGCTTTCTTTTCCACTTGTACACCAACTATGCCTGATTATCTCATTTTAAATCAACTACACAAACTAACTGCATTTGGTAATGAACACCATCAATACAAAATAATGCGCACGCATCAAGTTGATAACAGTAACCTTCCAACTTATATTTGATATCATGCGAACGTCGTCTTTCTATCAACATGAGGGAGTGTTCTTTGTCAAGCCTGAAATGCTGACTTGTGATCTCTGTTTAAAGTTAGTTTATTCCGACAAAGAAAATACTTTATAATAGATTTTAGCATTTGCATCATTTCAATTCTTGTCTCGTGCCACATAGTCGAACAAATGTATAACGTCACAGTTTTATCAATTTCATCATTGATTATTCGAAGGTCGCTAGCATCAATATTTACTCCCTCTGGAGACCGACGATCACCGTCCATTTTCTAAATGAATATGCAGGATTTAAATATCTGGCTGCAAAAAAACCGCTAAAAATTTGATACACACGCTTGGATCGAAAAGTACTGATGTTTACCTTTCTATTGAATGAAACCCGATATATTACTAGCGACTGTTCGATCATCAATCCGTTCAATACAGTTGTGATTGTATCAAATCTTAAACATTTTACTAGCATTAAAACTCTGCTGTGATAACAACTATTTTTACCTTTTCGATTTTATCCACTTTATATTTTTGGCAATTTAAAATAACTTACATATCGTCGTCAGCACTAAAATTAGGTGCCTTAACATGCTGGTAAGCCCAACATGAATAAGCTATCAACCAAACAGCACCAAAGCATGTCTCCGGCAACGACTTTTGCGACTCCTTCCAAGTTAAACAATGCCATCGTAAGTCATAAATAGATAAATATCCGCGAATGGAGCATGCAGGAGTGATGAAGCACGTTCCAATGAAGATCAAAGCAAGCAGTGGTATAACGATGAAGAATGGATGCAGTATTGCTATGATCCTCATTGACATTGCTGACAACAGGCGTGATATAAATCTCAAAACGAAATTCAGGAAAATGATCCACAGAGCGAGAGTATATCTGGAGAATAAGTTCAGTTCGGGTAAGAGGATAGTTACGATTTCTGAAAAATCTCTTAATAAAACTAAAACCAATTAATATCTGCTTTTATCTCAAGTTTGTGATTTCAGCTATACCATTAAACTACTATCATCGATTAAATTTAGCACACGATATGGAAAAGGCGCATACAAAGTAGTGGTGCTTTCTGAGGCGGACATATTTTCAAGCAACGATTTTTTCATAGCTTTAAATGGTAAATATCGGAGCCTGACAATCCATACGATAGCACTCGAAGTCAATATGCGCAGCACTGACACTATCAATCGTGTCATTGAACTCATTTTCCGCGTTCCATATTTTAGCTGTAAAAAGTGGGAGTGAAAGCGTCTGCGAATTACCGAAAAATTGCTAAGAAATAAGATGAAATGGGGCATTCATTCACTGCAAAAATTTTCTATTTTTACTATCAAAATTACTTCAGTTGAAATAAATAACATCTGGCAATTCAATAAAAATTTGTTTACATACTTGAAACAAATAGCGATAACTCGATATAGAGTGTTCCTCGTTGACCCATAAATCCCAGAAGCCAAAGGATGATAAAATCAAGCCAACAGGTAATGCGACATACTTGAAGAAGGGTACGGCAGTTATACTCCACATGTAGCAAGAAGCAAATACTACCAAAAAGAGCATTGAATAACTACACGAACGTACCAGTAATTTCAATCTCTTTTTCAACGTCCTGAATTTTGTTACCATTAAAGTTTGTAATTTTTAACAATTATTTCTTCATAATTACAGCATTAATTGTCGAATTAAGAAGATAAAAGGTAACCTACCACATCGGATCAAAAGAACAGCGGACTAGTTTTTTGATTTTGAGATATAGCGGTATGAATAGCGCAGAGACTGATAGAATCAAGCAATGCAGTGGATCCAGCGATGGAAAGATATGGAAAAATAAAATGGATACTCCTGTGGTTCGGCAACATTCCATTATAAATAACTAAATCAAAGCTCGAACGTTACTAAAGAAAGAAGAGAAATAAAGAAAGTAGCAAACTTACCATTAATAATGCATCTTCCCGTTCTTTCGGATATCTGTATATCCTATAGAGGGATTGAATGATTGCCAACACATCCGGCACGTTTTGAATAAGCCACAAGGCAAAAACTACAGATACCGTTACTTCTGTGCTTCTCACCTTTCCTAAAAACTGAGCAAATTCCTGGACAATCAGTCTTTTCTATAGATAATTTATCTTGTATTTCACATTTTTAATATAGAATGCCACCTCTTCTTTTTAAAAGTATATCATTTCCAGCAAAAAATAACCTTCTCCAAAATAGCACTTTTTTTCAAAGTGACTACTGGGAGCTTTCAAATCAACACTGGTTGCTAATAAGATCACCACCAGTTTGGACGTCGCTGCTCCAAAGATCAACAGTAAATGGGACATCACAAATATCAGAAACTGAAAGGCGCAAAGTAATGAATCATGATCCATTATCTCGTTTTCTACGGAATGGATGAATCTTGAGGATTGAAATAATAGTACATAGAATATGTTTGGTAAAATATACATTGGAATAATCTTAGATGGAATTGAAATTTACCCAGAATATCTCTCACCTTAAGAATCTGCAAAGTTTTTATCATCCATGGAGTGAGTTCGTTATTAAGGCAATATTCATGAGAATGAGATTGGAAAACATCCCATCTTGACTTGAAACCATCCCATTTCGTAAGCATTTTGGACGACATTCTGAAAGGAATGGGAAGTTGTCGAATAACGGAATGCAATGATATAAAAAGCGGGGCAATGTATTGAAAAGCAAAAAAAGAGATATGCGATACTTTCCACTATCAAATTTGCTGCAATGGATGACGGAAGAATGATGCGTAATGAAGATAGAGCAATGACATTCATATTCTTATAAATATATTCCTGGAGCAGCATCGTCTAGTTCTCCCAGAACTTCGAGAGCAAATATCCAACGCATATCATACAATATTCCTTTGCCATCATATAAATAAATCTATCGGATGTACTGATATTTTCATTTCCAATGTCATGCACACAGGAATTATCAATGCTCTGACCAGAGAATCATGTAAAGATGAATGTCTTTGTAGAAGTTGGATTTGCATATCATTCAGACAAGAGCATACCTTCTAGAATACTTCTTTTGGGCAAATTTCTATCTACTTATGTATCCGTCGCTTCGATATCATCGAGAGTAGAATTCTGAAATTTAATTTATTTCAGAGCTTGTTTATTGTTTACTCATTAATAATTTATTCATTTGCTATTTCAATAATTCCATTGGAATTGTTG